AGCACTGTGCCCCCTCCCCTGGTGGCTGGGCCACCCTTCTAGGGAGAAGACCCAAGGGTGATTGTGATGATCTAGGCTAGGGAGGGAAGCCCAATGTCTGACTGCTAACCTGGAGCTCAAACATGGAGTCTGCTTCATTTTTCCAGGTCAAAAGAGTGTTTTCATTGCTTGGCAATAACTGTGGAGGCAAGAGGGGCAGGGGCTGCACAGCATAGCTTTCCATTTTTCATTGGATGTCATTCTAGAAGGAGGAGATGGGTCCTGGAACCAGGGGATTTAGTCATCAGCAAGTTAAGAAGAGGATTTTGTGAAAGCTGAGGGAGGGAGAGAGGCAGAGAGAGAATGCTTAAAAGCACAAATTGTTTCTCCTTTGCTTTTTTGACTCCAGTTTCTTTACTCCAGCACCAAACATAAAAACGAAACACATTTGACCTTTCATTGTTAGGCTCCTCTTGGGAGCTCTCTGTGAGATTTATCAGGTTGAGGGCCCTGTGGAGAGTCTGTGCAAACTCCTGTTATCCACCTGAGCCTGGAGTTTGACCATAAAATGACCAATTATGTGAACTCCAAGACCCCTCAGTGGGTGGGAAATACAACAAACTGCAGCCTTTTGGGAGCTAGGTGCAGTCTGTCTTCTGCAGTGGAATTAGCCAGGGGTTCTCTCCATCATCATTCACTTTGCAATGATTGAGCAGGGGCTGGATGCTTGAATCCCACCAGTTCACCACTGAGGAAGAAGGAGCTTCAGAGAGGAGATATAGATAACATGAAAAATTAGCAGAAAAAGCCATGAGAAATAAAGAGTGGAAAAAGAGAGGAACTGTATTGAAAAGCAAAGAAAATTCAATAACCTGTGAAGAGTGTGGATGTCAGTTTTCAAAATAAGCCTTTCTGCTTCCAAAGGCTGATTCGAAAGTGTGCAGTGTTTTACCAATCAAGATTGCAACTCTCATCAGTCCAAATATTTTACATTTCCCACATCTGTCTACTATTTTATTTTGCAGGATAAATGGGTCACTGAAAAGGTATACATGGATTCATTTTTAGGTGATATTTTAGGTGTACCAAAAAAATCTTTTTTATGACTCCATCATAAGCATTTTAGAAACTTCATGATTTTGCTTATAGACCCACATGTGGGATGTTGTTAGACCTTCCCAAGTTATATGTGAGAAATGGGTGATAAAATGCTAATATTTAAATAATTCTTCAGATATATGATGGCATAGAAATTAAGCGTGACGTTCTCTACTCTTGTTTTGATGGACCTGTGGATTTAGGCACATATAGTCTTGGGGAGTAGAGAGCTTGGTGCCATATATTTAAATGCTGGCATTACTGAGGTTGGAGGAAGTGGGTCACAGAAGACCCAAAATGAACAGTTCATCTCTGGAATAAGGTACAACTGACAAATCTAGATTGAGTAGCATGTTTTCCTTGGCATGATTTATCTTTGCTTTGACTCTGGCTATCCTTAGGTTGTGTAGTTACCCCATGTTTGTAACCGGCTTAGTTTATTAATCCCATGGCTGAAGACTGTGCAACTGATTTAGTATTTATTGAGCTCCCACAACATGTCAAACACAGTGTAAACTCCAGTCTGAAGAGCTTCACATGTGATTCAGTGGCACACGCATTTTACACACATAGCAAAGACATCAATGAATGAAGGTAAATCAATCAAGAACCTGCCTTGGGAAACAAAGGTGCTCCTGACCTCTCATCTGTGAGGGACAGGCCCTGTGTTCACTCCCAGATCTAGCCGCACTCTTGAGGTTAGTTTTGTGTCTTACATTTGAAAGACTGCTAGATGTTCAGGAATGCAAACCACGGAACAGAGGTGGTGGGTAAGCCTACCTGAGAAAATAAACCTGGAACTTAGCTATCCCAGTAAGAGAGCAGATTGAAAATTCACAAGAACAAAAAATCAAAACAGTTACAGGAATTGGAATATCATTACCTTAGCATCTCTCACAGTTGCTATTTCCAGGTAGCTGTTGCCAGGAAGAAACACTCTTTTGCCAGTTTAGTGAGATAAAGCTATTGATTGGCTGCCAAAAGTGAGACCTGGTGACAATGCTTGCAAAGAGGATTACAGAACCTCCCATCAGCCTTGAGAAGGGCTGCTGCCAAGTACCAAGTTGGCTCAGCTCCCAGCTTGACTGCCTGTATTACTCCTTGTAGGAAGAGGCCTATGTATACATCTTAGGTGCTTGATATTAACCAAAATGAATTATTAAATACAATTTTCTACCTACAATCCTATACAGATCCCTCTGGGACTCATGTCTGAGAGATTTTTTTTTTTTTTTGAAATTCTGTTTGATTTATAAATTAGTCCCAAACAGATATCAGATGTTGTAAAAATTGATTAATTGCTATTCAGTTACTGATTTTCATAATATGTAAAGATGTTATAAGCACAAGCTAATTCTCCAACCTCTTTAGGCTCTTTATAAAGTCCACGTAGTGTTTAAAACTTAAGTTGTAGGCATGACAGGATCCAGTGGCAACTATTCTAGTAATTAATGGAGATGCTTGTTTTCATAGCTGATATAAACATAAGCTAGTCAGGGATGACTTTTTCTAACACCCTGACAACGAAGATTTAAAATAATTCATGGTATGTAACTTTTTTTTGTTTTTTGAGACTAGGTCCCACTCTGTCACTGAGACTGGAGTGCAGTGGTGTGATGACAGCTCACTGCAGCCCAGTGATCCGCCTTGGCCTCCCGAGTACTGGGACCACAGGCATACACAACCACATCTGTCTATTTTTTGTAGAGATTGGGGTTTTGCCATATTTCCCAGGCTGGTCTTGAACACTTGGGCTCAAGCAGTCCTCCCCACTTGGCCTCCCAATGTTTTAGAATTACAGGTGTGAGCCACGGTACCCGGCCATGGTATGTAACTTTATAGTACAATTGACCTAAAGTTGAATGATGATATTTTTTTCTGAATTATTGGATGGATACATACAAAATATGTAAGTAAACTGTGGAACAAATCCCTACATATTCTGATTTCAATAATTTGCCTCTTTGTGATTGAGCAGGTATTGTCTGAAGATGAAAAGAATATTCTCTAACATGTAACACTGTCAAATTCAACTCCAAATTCTTAACACCTTTGGTGGGCGCAAATAAAGCTTCATTCAGATGTTTCTGAAATTCATTAGAAAGAGTATAATTTTTTTTTTTTTGAGATGGAGTCCTGCTCTGTCACCCCCAGGCTGGAGTGCAGTGGTGTGATCTCAACTCTCTGCAACCTCTGCCTCCTCAGGTTCAAGCAATTCTCCTGCCTCAGCCTCCTAAGTAGCTGGGATTACAGGTGCCCACCACCACACCTTGCTAATTTTTGTATTTTTAGTAGAGATGGAGTTTTACCATGTTGGCCAGGCTGGTCTCAAACTCCTGACCTGATGGTATGCCCACCTCAGCCTCCCAAAATACTGGGATTACAGGTGTGAGACATGGCATCCTGCCCTAGAAAGGATAATTCTTAAGGTGCTTATTCTTGGTTGCATATTAAAATCCCCTGAAGTGCTTTGGAAAATGCTAGTGTCCAGGCACCATCTCAAATCAATTAGATTCTTGGGAGGAGGGCCCAGACATCAATTTAAAAAAAAAAAAAAAAAAAAAAAAAAAAAAAAAAAAAAAAAAAAAAAAAAAAAAAAAGCTCCCAGGTGATTCTAGGAGCAGCCAGGGCTGAGAACCAGTGATTTAAACCTTCCAAAAAAGAGGCCACAATGAATCAGATCCTCAGATCCCTCCCCAAATAATTCCTCTCCCTCTCCTTCCCCCTACCACTTACACTCTCCGCACATGACCATCAAAGGAACTCTCTGAGGAAGTGGGAAATGTCTGGCCCAGAGCCTCCCAAGTAATAGAGCTGCTAGAAGCATAACAGCCAGTCCCCAGGAAGCCTGGGAGATGAGCTCGACTGGGGCAGGGGTGGGCTGCACCATTAGCACACAGGTTCTTTGTTCTCCAATCCATGGATAAAGCCCAAAGTTCATTTAGCACCATTGCCAGAGGTAACTTCCATCCCCATATTTGCCTGCCTTTTCCTTTTTCCCAAGCCAGCCTGTCCTACCCTTCACCATGTGCAAAAAGTCTAGCTCTGTAACTACTAAAGATTCCTATGCTAACCAGCCCAACCGTGAGTACTTCCACTCCCACCGTGGTTGTTGACATGAATGTAATAGGATTAAACCCTTGTCATTCCCATGTCATCCCTCTTTCCTTTCCTTTTAGGGCACATTTTAATGAGTGAGCTCATTTCTGAGAATAAGAGAAGCAGGAGGAGGTGAAACAGTGATTCTTGTGTTCAGTGAGCTGGGAAAGTAGTTGAACCTTACAGATGGTGACTGAGTTACTATGAACACAGAGGCTGATCTGACAGCTGGATACTGTGTATCATTTCCCAAGACTCCTGCCCTCACTGCCACAGTTGCTGTTCCAACAGTGTGGAGAATCTTGTCTCAAGACACTTGTCCTAATTTACAGAACTCTCAGGAGGTTAAAGTGATGCTTATCAGCCTGGTATCATGCCCCACAATCTTCACCTGTTCCCTTAACCCTGGAAGTAATTAGTGTTTGATCTACACATCACGTGGTTGGTAGCTTATTCTTCTGTTCTGTCCTTAAGTAAACTTCTGCCAGTCCTTGTATTCTGGGTTGATCATGTTCCAAGTATCACTACAGAGCAGGTGCTGAGCAGTCAGATGACAGCTGTTGATCTGTTGCAAGTGAGCAATTAGAGACTGCAAGAGAATGCCACACCACACAGTTTACATTGAGTATTCTGAAAACCAAATATTTGAGTGCCCACTTTGTGGCAAACACTGAGTACACACACACACACACACACACACACACACACGGAGAGAGAGAGAGAGAGAGAGGGAGAGAGAGAGAGAGAGAGAGAGAGAGAGGGAGAGAGAGAGAGAGAGAGAGAGGGGATGTCTGTCTTTATGTACAATTAAATGCCCTGTTAAATGAATTGGACCTTTTCCTCTTTATCTGTATTTATCTCTTCATTAAGTAATTCATCTCATCATTTTTAAATAGTTGGGGCGGAAAGGAGGGAAACAAAAGCAAGACCTTTCTAAAGGGAGCTTGTAGGTGTTTTTGCACTACAAATTCAAGTGGATTTAAAACTAAAATGCTTTTGGCATATGAAGATCTTATTCAGGAAATACTGAAATCCCAGATGTAGATTTTTTAATATTTATTTACCTGAAATCCTAGAAATGCAAGGTTTCAAATGGACTAAGCAATATGAGGGTCCTCTCAGCTGGGTTCTTTTTCTAAAGGCAAACTGAAAAGCTTTACCAAGCCCACCACATTCCTTTTAAATCCCATTCACACTGTTCACTTCTCCAAAGAGCAGGAGGAGGGGACGCCAGGAAGGCAATCATGGCTCTGAAATGCTTTTCTGAATGTGGAGAAAAAGTTTTGTTTGTCCTTCAAGGGCATAAAGAAGAAATAATAAATCCCCCCTCCCTCTCTCTGGCCTCCCCCAAGCAAAAAGCAAGAGTCTCACCAAAGCCCACTTAACATTTTACAAAGACACAAGGACAAGACAGGCAGCAGGACAAGAGGGCTGGGCTGGAAATGTCGCCGTATGTTGACTTAGCTCTGGTGCTAAGAATAAGCTCTCCAGGCTGACCTCGCGTGGTGCCCTCGGAGGCCAGTGGAAGTGGAGCTCCTTGACCAAGGCCTGGCTCAGTGGCATCAGATGACCACGCTGACGGTCATGTTCTGGCCATGGGGCGTTATCTTGCGGGGCCAAGCGAGCAACAGTTTGCGCAGCTCCTCACGGAAGCTGTCGTGCAGCCAGGCGTAGATGAAGGGGTTGTAGCAGGCCGAGCTCATGGCGAGCCAGTGGCAGAGCAGCTGCACCAGCCCGAAGGCGTAGGGGTTGATGGCGCGCGGGTCGAGGTCCCGCAGCAAGTTGAAGACGTGCAGCGGCAGCCAGCAGACGGCGAACACCACCACGACCACCACCAGCAAGCAGAAGGTGCGCCGGCGCCGCGCGCGGTCCCAGTCGGCCTGGCTCTGTGTCACGCAGCCAGGCACCACACGGTTGCGGAGCTTCACGGACACCCGGACGTAAGACAGGAGGATGACCAGCAGGGGGAGCAAGTAGGTGACCAGCAGCAGTCCCCAGGCATAGAGCTGGCGCTGGCGCTCCTGGGAGCCCCAAAACTCCTCGCAGAGGCGCACATCGTGCGGCCTGAGCTCCACGTGATAGGTGTGCATGGCCGCTGGCAGCGCCAGCACCGCGGACAGCGCCCAGATGGCCAGCACCACGTAGGCGCTGAGGCGCAGGGAGATGCGCCGCCGCAGCGGGTGCACCAGCACGACGTAGCGGTCCACGGCGATGGTGGTGAGCGTGAACACCGACACGTAGACGGTGACCGGCTGCAGGAAGAAGACCAGGTGGCACAGGCTGCCGCCGAACACCCAGCCGCGTGGCTCGAAGGCGTAGGCCAGCGTGAGCGGCACGCAGGCAGCGCACATGAGCACGTCGGACAAGGCCAGGTTGCCGATGAGGAAGTTGGTCACGTTGTGCAGCCGGCGCACCCGCGCGATCACCAGCACCAGCAGGCAGTTGCCCACCAGCCCCACGACCACCACGACGCTGTAGAGCAGCACGATCAGCCCCTTCAGCTGATGCACCAGCTGCAGGCTCTGGAAGGGCGTGACGGCCTCAGCGCCCGTGCCAGCCGCGGACCCGTTGCCAGCCGAGACCTCTGCGCTCTGGTTGGCGGGAGTTGTGATCGCTGGCGGCAGCTCAGAGAATAAGTCAGAAACCCTGGGGTCCTGAGTAGGTGGTGAGGCCATGGCCACCTGTGCAAAGATAATCAAAGTCCATCACTCCCCACTCTCCCTCTGACCTCCTGCACCAGCTGCGCCCCTCCCCCATCACCCGAGTCCTCCCTTGGGAATAACCAGCCACAGAAACGACAGCAAAAGCAACAAAAAGGGCTATCCTTCCACCTCTGTAAGATAAACCTAAGCATGGTTAGATATACACGACTTATTAAATGCTTCCGCCTCTATTTACGGTCCCCGCAGTCCACGCAGGGAGACCCAGGAGCGCGATCCTACCTAGGAATGGGGTTTGGAGGACGGGAAAGCTCTTGCGGGAGGAAGGGGCAGAACTTCTGCTGGCCCCCGGTGGTCTCTGCCCACGTCGGCGATTCGGTCTCGCTTCTCCGCGGGAGCTAAGCGGATCCAAACGTTCCCAGTTTGGATCTGAGAGGATCTGAGAGGGACTGGAGCTTCTGAGAGGGACTGGGAGCGCCTCCCCTCAGCTCCAGTCCCCACTCCAGTTCCCATGTATGGAAAAAGGGGGTGGAGCGCGCTCTGCCCTGCTGGGTGCCTAGAGAACTAGTGAGGAGAAGAGTGTGGGGAGGATGGAGCCCAAAACGGGAGGAGGGGCCGACAAACCTGACCCGAGCAGCGAGGGGAACGAATCTCGACTGCGGCAGCTCGCACGGCCCCTGGAGGGCACGCTCCTGGGGAGCGCGCAGTGGAGGAGGGCGGAGGAGAGGCTCTAAGCGTCAGGCTTTAGGAAGGACCCGGTGCAGTCTCCGGAGGGAGGCAGCGGGGGCAGGAAGTAGGAGTGGGAGATTGCAATGCAGCTAGGGGCTTGAGAGAGGTACAACTGACCCGTTCTTAAGAGCTGGGTCCTGCCTAACGGCCCGGTTGCGAAAGGCAGAGATGTTAGAGGGCTCGGGCGGGGATTTAGAAGCAGAGCCTGGCGCTGGTGGCGAACCTGAAGACCCTCACCCTCCCGCAGCCCAGCCACACGAGCCCCGGCTAGGCTGCCGTGCGCTCCGCGGTCTGCGGGTCCGGCCAAGCCAAAGACAGGAGTCAGCACCACGGACAGCTCCCGTCCTTCCTGGCACGCCTCGGGGGAAGGGCAGGGGACAACAGTTAGGGAATTCCTGCCCCTCTCTGGATCAGAGGTGTTAGGGGAAGGAACCTGGTCCTTTCGAAGAGCTGCCGCCGCCTGCTTTTTGGGCTGGGGCTGAGAAAAGTAGGGTGGCGTGGAGGCAGCTGAGCCAGGGGCTCGGGGGTCGGAGGGTCACGACTTTTGCTCCTTTTGCGGATCACTGCACTTGGTGCCAAGGACGGCGTTGTCTTTTACCTCCCGGGGTCAGAAAATGCAGCCCTCCTGCCAGTTATTCTACACAGAACCACGTCAGTGTCTGGCCCAGCGCCCCCCACCCCTGACCCCCATGCTTTCTCTCGCTGTCTTTCTCGGCTACCGCGACCTGTGCCGTTTCTGCCAGTTTCTCCCAGAACAGAATCGTATTTCCTGGACCGGGATTCGACCCCCTCTTAAATGAACACCCACAGGCCTCTTCACTTCATTTTAGGATTTTAAAAAATACTGGTAACTGCAGATTTCAGCTAGGGTAACCAAAAGTAACAAACATTTGAGAAGCTTATGCGTTTCATAAAATCTTCAGTAGTATTAAGTCCTCATTGAAATGCAAATTAGCCTGGACCAAGGGGCAGGAACCAGGAGAGGAGGGGCCTTTGTAAGCTTCCTCCTTAGAAGCTATCTCATTCCCTCAGCCTCTTGTTTCCTTTTTCCAGAGCATGAAGCTTCATTGTCTGCTCTCTGATAAGTCCTTATACTTTGTCCTCTGTGGCTGCAGATATCCCAGTTAGACTGGAAAAAAATAGCAATTTATTCTGCCCTCCAAATTTAAATGAATCATTCATATAGAAAAAAATCAACATTGGAACAAAAGCAATCAATGTTATGCACCTGTATGCATCCTAAACTCACACTCCCTGAGTTATCAATTTAGCTAAAAGTGTGTGTGTGTGTGTGTGCGTGTGTGTGCATGTGTGTGTATTATATATATATATATGTTTGGAATATATATATGTGTGTATATATATATTTGTGTATATATATATATACACACAAATATATATATGTGTGTGTGTGTGTGTATATATATATATATATATATACACACATATATATATATATATATACATATTTGGACAAGGTCTCACACTATCACCCAGGCAGTGGCACAATCATAACCTAGGCCAAAGTGATCCTCCCACCTCTCAGCCTCTGAGTAGCTGGTAGATATGGTGCACACCACCATATCTAGCTAATTTTTGTATTTTTTGTAATGGTGAAGTTTTTCCATGTTGCCCAGGCTGATTGAACTCCTAGGCTCAAGCAGTCCTCCTGCTTCAGACTCCCAAAGTTCTGAGATTGCAAGCATGAGCCACGGCACCCAGACTCAGTATTATATTTTTTACATTGCAGAGTTCTAAATTCTCATTTAGAATTTTTCTCATTATTTTCAACTGCAGGTTTTTATGCACCCAAGAGCAGGGGCACTCTTTTGTTTCAAAATCTCTTAAGCAGAGGAAATTGTGGTAAAGCCAGTAAAAAAGGATTTAGGATGTTGTTAGGCCTCCTAACTAGAGCCATCATTCTGGTCAATATCATTATGTTTGTCAATTATCATATATTATAGTAGAAGTAATAATATGAAGACAATCTTGTCAATAATTAAAGGTCATGCAAACATGGATATTTGAAGTTTCAACATTGGGGCACCCTCCAGAGGAAAGAGTTGATCATTTGTCAAATTCCAAATAAAGTCAGGCAAGTGTTTTAGTATTATCAATATTTGCAAGGTGGAAAAGAAGTGAACAGCTGTCCTTTGAAGAAGGAATGAAGATCTAATAGCCCACATTAAATCTTCATTCCCTCTTCTCTTCCCTGGAGTTAAGGCTAGTCCCTCTCCCAGCCAATACATCATGATTAAATCATACTAATGTTCAGACTGTCTAGTACTAAGAATGCTCCATAAACCTGAGACAGCATAAATAAACAAAATACTTAGGACAAATGAAGGAAAGGTAGTACTTCATACAGTAGACAGCAAACTAAGAAATCTTACTTCCTCTCATTCTCCAAAAGCTTTCAATGCCCCATCAAACCAAGGCCAGATGCTTTAGCAGGGCATTTCCAACCAGTGTGCACTCCTTTTTAGATACCCCCTCATGTTTTTGGTCTAGCTTCCTACCTTTGTTCATTTTATTCCCTATGCAGAAACCAAATTTTGCTGGGTGCTGAGATATCCTCACTATTCCTGTCTAATTCCTCTCTCTCTTTTTTTTTTTTTTTTGGACATGGAGTCTCACTCTGTCACCCAGGCTGGAGTACAGGGTTGCAATCTCGGCTCACTGCAACCTCCACCTCCCGGGTTCAAGCGATTCTCCTGCCTCAGCCTCCTGAGTAGCTGGAACTACAGGCATGTGCCACCATGCCCAGCTAATTTTTGTATTATTAGTAGAGACGGGGTTTCACCATGTTGGCCAGGATGGTCTCAATCTCTTGACCTTGTGATCTGCCCACCTGGGCTTCCCAAAGTGCTGGGGATTACAGATGTGAGCCACCACACCTGGCCTAATTCCTCTCCTAGACTTTATTTCTTTACTCCAGAATGTCAGTTGCTTAATCATCCCTCAACTCTACCTGTCCACATTCTTCACACCCTACAAGACCCAACTCAAAGATGACTGGTCTCAAAGACTTCTCCCTTCCATAATCATTCTGTCCTTTATTACTTTTTACCTTGAAATTACGAAAGTATTTAGCTTTCCTGCCTCCACCAACCCAGACTGTAAATTCTTTATGGACAGGGCCAATGTCTTGATGCATTTTGTACCTACAACATACCATAAGCCCAGTAGATATCCAATACATATGTTTTTCTTTTTTTTACTGAATGAATGAAAATAGCACCATTTATTTAGGGCTTTAGGCATCTCAGGCATTGCTAGGTACTTCACATAAATTGTCTTATTTGATCCCCTTCAAAATTATTGTTATACCCATTTTACAGATGAGAAAACTGGCTCTCAAGGCTAAGAAACTAACCAGAATGGCATATCTAATATGTAGTAAGGTTGGAATTTCATCTTAGATCTGCCTGATTCTGGCACCATACCATTCAACTACTATATTTTACTGCCTATGAATGAATGGCAGATGTACCTGCAGAGACTGAAAATACAAGCAGGTTCAAATGAGATTAAATAAACACAGGTACCCCCGCCCGCCCATGGTTTATTAGAGAAAGCTCTAGAAAATTTAGTTACAACTCACACCTTATCATGTTTAAGCTAAGCAGATCTTTATGCCTTACCCACCCTGTTTCTTGCTTCCATCCCATATAGGAGACAAAACCTGGGTCCATAGGAACTTCAGGGGATGGTCTTTGCTAATGATAATAGGTGACACTATATGGAAATCAGAAGACAGAAGACAGACGACAGAAGTAAGGACTGCTGTTATAGTTTTAGGAAGCTTGGTTAAAGCAAAGATTTGATGTCAACTAAGTTCATGCTGATACACTGTAGTTAGCCCAAATTTATGGGAAATCACTAGAGATATCAGTTTTGACTACTAGCACAAAGAACCAATTGCTGGTACAATTGTTTCATATTTGTCTAAGGCCAGATAATAACAGGGCAGAAGCCCTCCCAAAGTGAGTTTTGTCTTCTACACCTGCCCTGTGTGCTTTCCAACACCCACATGCCACCATGGCTGCTGAGGCTGAGCCAGGCACTAGTTCTTAAAGCTTTTCCAAATCACTGCCTGGTCACACAAGGGCTGGTCATCTAAGGCAGAGCAGCCTGTGGCAGGCAGTGTAAGAATGGATATGACAATTCATACAGAGATGAAAAAAAAACCTGTGGGTTTCCATCAGATGACTCTGAGGCAAGTGTATTTTGTCGCAGACTCCAGACATACTCATAATTAGATTTTGAAAACATCTCATTTCCCATGCTGTCCTCTCACTCTTGAAATAGCAACAGGTCAAGTGAAGAAAAATGATGTTTTAAAAAAGAAGAAAACCAGGACATAAGCCAAAGCCAATTACCAAAGGGAGGAGATAACACATCACAAAGCTCCAAGTCAAAATAAGGAATCATACACAGCTGCTGAGCTTGAATGACAGCTCTCCCGCTATGAATGTGAGTCATTGGACAAATTTTTTACCCTGGAAGAGCTCCAGTTTGGGAAAATCTAATAATGCCTACCTCTGAGGGATGTTGAGAAAACCCAGCGATATAACACATGGGGAAGTTTGGGCGAAGTGGCTCACATCTGTAATCCCAGCACCTTGGGAAGCTCAGGCAGGTGGATCACCTGAAGTCAGGAGTTTGAGACCAGCCTGACCAACATG